CATAGACAATCTTCTACATGGTAGATACAAATTTCAAACTTCAAATTATTATTGACTACCTTAATTACTTGTAAATTAGATAATAAAGGCATATATTTTGGGTTATTTCAAAAATGAAAATGGTGATGTCACCTTAATAAATTTTTTTGGAAGGCATTGTTATAAATTACAATATAGGTATCAAACATCACTATTAATAAAAAATATATTACTGCATTTTTCAACTTTTCTACATGCAGTCTTTTAAGTAAAGCCAATATAATTTATTGCTAATTTATGACAAAATTAGCTATATCTTAATTTTATGTTGAAAAAAGTTATTGTTAAAGTCTTTTTGAGGGCAATTATAAATTCATACTTTGTTTATATAAAATTTTTTGTACCTGGGGAGGGTTCATAGTCTAAAAGAAAGGGAGGGGGGGGGGAGGTTTATTAAGCATTTTACCAAATCCCCCCTTCCCCCCCTTTTTTTTTTTTTTGTTAAAAAAATAAAGATAAGTATGAGAATTTTTTTTGAGTAGCCAAATTGTGCTAATTACACATTTAACACCAGATATTTAACCATTTGATTTATAGTATATAATAATAGTGCGGTAGTGGTGTAGTGGTAGAGCGCTCGCTTCATAAACGAGTGGTTCCGAGTTCCATCCCCACCACGTCCCTGGTAGTACCGCGCTCAACTCGTTTCTCCACGCAGTGGCCTTGTTCGTCAAGGTTCGTGTTTCGGAGTTATACAGTTGAGAGAGGGTTATAGCCACAAAATAAGTAGCCTCCTCGTCTGTAGTGGCCTTCTCGGCCTTGAGGAGGTGAAGTAAAATAAAAAAAAATAAAAAAAAAATAAAAAAATAAGGTGAAGTGTACATTTTGTAATACCAGGACATAGTAGACATCTATGTAATCTCTATAGTCCAGGACATAGTAGATATCTATGTATATACCAGGACATAGTAGACATCTATGCATCTCTATAGTCTTTGTCAATTTTAAGAGTATCAGTTAATAACTTAACATTCTGATGATGAATAAAGACCCAAACACAGTGTGCTAAACGAGTTAGCGGTTACAGTGTGTCTTGGGTAAAGGCTGCAAAACTTTAAAAACATAACATTTAAATTAAAGTGTTCAGATTTAAATGCTACATGAAGTTCTTTTAAAATAATCAATATTAATCTTTTTTGCATGTGTTGCCTGTACCTATACTGAGACAATCTTATTTTCCAGGCATCATTTGTGTATACACGTCACTTTGATAATAGCTATGAACAAGAACAATGGTTTCACGGGAAAGCAACTTTCCTTTTTATGATGATGGTTTATACAAGATTTTTTTTAGCTTTTCTAGCCTGTTGTATAAGGTAAATAGATGCATTAAAAAATTCTGCAGATTCGGGGAGTGACCATGATTCTGGAGTTAATGTTAACATATGTATTTTTGTGGAGCATGATGCCACATTTTTTAGTTTATCTTTTAATAAATTTAAAAGTTTAGGTTTGTTTAGGTGAGTTTAGGTTTTAAGTTTAGGTTTATTTAGGTTTAGTAAGTTTAGGTTTTTTTAGGTGAGTTTAAGTTTGTTTAGGTGAGTTTAGGTTGTCAATTTTATGGTTATCAACTGAAGAAGTTAGTGGTGGTTGTCATTCATAGTGATATCTTCACATTTCCTATAAAAAAAAGAAACAATCATTTCTTAAAACTAATATTGATTAAGCATCATTGTAAAGAACATATTAGTATATTTATTTATAAAAAGATTTGAATTTGCTTCTTAAAAAAGCATTTATTTGTTTTATTATTTCCTTATTTTATTTAACTACTATTTGAATCATTTTATCATCAAAATAATATTGCCTTTTAAGTTTTTCTTTTGATTTCCGTGGTTTTTAGATTACAGCCTTTCTGAAATTTTCTATCAAATGCAACTCCAAAGTGTTCTCTATGATAATAACAAACTGTTGTAAACAATTTTACGCAATCAAATCTCTCCATAATAACTCATGTTTTTCATCACTTGAAAATGTTGATAGATTTAAAAGACCTTGTCTTCTTGTTAAACCTAGCTTTTGGCAGTCAACATTCTAATTCAATAGAACACTTTTCTATATTTTCCAATTTTAAAATTTATTCAAAAAATCTAGTTTTGAAATATTTTACAAAATAAATCTTTTTTAGAAATACCATTAAGATTATTTAGTTTATGGTAAATTTATTATTTAGTTTATGGTAATAATTCTTTACTTTATGGTAATAATTCTTTAGTTTATGGTAATAATATCCATATAACTGGATGTGCCATATTATATGACTTCGTCTTATACATGATTAAAAGGTAGTTAATTTTTATTTTATTTACAGATCATATAGAAATCATTTAACATTTATTAACTAGTTAAGTAAATATAAAAATCCTGCAAAGTAACAAAAAACATTTACAACATGAAATCAGAAACAATAATATAATAATAATGAAATAAAAGATTTTATTTATAAAAGAAAAAAAAAATGTCTTTTATAAATATAACTTTTTACAAAAAATGTCTTTTATAAATGCATTTGGATTACAACCTAGCAAAGTTTTTATACTTAAAAAAATGTTGGAATATTGTCTATGTACAAAATTTCAGGATGATATTTGGTTCATAAAATATTGCTATTTAATAACACAAAAGTATTTTGCAAAAAATGCATAAATAAGAAAATCATAATAGTCAGCATAAATAAGAAAATTGAATCCTGAATATCTCAAGAACCATAAGGAGTTGGAGGTTCCAAAATTCAGATTCTCCTAATTTTCATAAACTTTATAATATATATTATAACGTGCAGCCGTGGTGCAGTGGTAGCACACTTGCCTCAGAAACGTAAGATCCGTGGTTCAAACCCCACCTCTGAGCAAGTTTTGCGACATCGGTTGGGAAGGAGGCGTGAACTTTCTATTAAATGCTCTTCCGCGGTGCTCTGTGATAAGACCATAAGGACTTCTTGGGGCACCTAAACCAACTTAAAAAATATATATATATATAAAAAATTAGCAAAATCTAAAATATGGAGTGATATGAGCCTGCTGATTTGACATTACCCTTTAGAGATAAAGACAATCCCTGTCTATTTGTATGTTTTGTATAAACTCTTGATTATATTGCCTTTTCCATTAGGTATAAGACTCCAAAAAATTTGAATAAACATAATAATATAAACATAAATTTAATCTTAAACAAATTTTAAACTTTTTATGAAAACAAACTTTTTATACTTATAATAACTTTAAACTATGATTTAAACTATGGTTGATTGAAATTTTCAGTCAACCATTTATAAGACTAAAAAATCAATCAACCATATATAGGACTCGTACTACTTAAAACTAGGGTTGGAATGTTCCCGCAAAATTTAAATTTGAGAAATTTCCCAAAAATTTTCTGAAAATTTTATAAATTTCCATAAAAAAAAAAAAGTTATTTTATAACTATTGCGTGAAATTGTTATGTCTTATTTGTTATTATGGACAATTTTATGTCTTATTTGTTGTTATGGAAAATTTTATGTCTTATTTGTTGTTATGGACAATTTTACGGTAAAATATTGTGAAGCAGATTATAAAAACTTCAGAAAGCCCCCTTTGAAAAAAACTTTTTTTGGTATTTTGTTAAGATTTTTTTTATTATATCTACAAGTAGCAACTATGATAATTTGTTTTCAAAATTTTCTAAAACTATTTTATTGTGTTATTTACTATGCATATTGATGCTCATCACCATAGCAAGCTTTATTTTAGGGTTAAACAAAACTAGCACCCTCATCTCTAAAAGGGGCATTTTTTGTTATCTATTAACCAGGCCTACATGTTACTAAAACTTATTAACATGTAGGCCTGGTTAATAAATAACAAGTTCTATTGTGGCCTTGCACAATAAAACTTGTTAATCTAAAAAAGATTTTATTCTTTGTATTTTGTGAATATTTTACATCAAAGTTGAGAGAAGTAAAAGCTAGAAATATGTTATACACAAGCCCAAAGGACAAGCTAACTTGGAAAACATCTATTTGTTGTTGTTTCACAAAAGTAATGTAAGAGTAACATAACAACTTGAGCATTTTATTGCTTTTTTAAAAAAATGTGTGGTTCTTAAATTGTTAAAATTAATTATAAAAATTTGACTAAAAGATGTGTATTTTTTGCTTGGAGGTTTATTATTTTATATTTTTTGTTGAAATATTTAAAGAATACCCAAATACTATGATGATAAAAAGCATATTTTTGAAACAAAGAAATGAATTTTATAAAACTATATAATAACTATAAATAAATACATACATATACATTTTTTTTAAATTTCCCGGAAATTTTCAACCCTACTTAAAAGTAAATCAGTTTTAGATATAAGAAACCTTTATAGGTAGCATGTTAGGTGTTATTTCCCCCTTCTAAACTTTTTTTTTTTTTTTTTTAAATATTGAATTTAGTTTACAAAGGTCATTCCTTTTGAAAAAAATACTTTTTTATCCTACCCTTGAGGGAACAAATGGGAAGCAACGATACAATTTGCACAATTGAAAAAAAATACTATTGGGGTATACGATCAGGTGAGCTCAAACAGATCGAAATTAAATCTGCATAAATTACATAGAAAAATTAAAAGAACCACTCCAGGACTTTCTGCACAATCTACACTAAAATTGGGTACCCAAAATGTCCGAACTGCTATAAAGAAATCTGACATCAATCATGATATAGTAAAACAATCATTAGATATTTTATACTGATTGAAACTTGGATATTGCGCTAATAGTAATAATAATTAAAAAAAAAAAAAAAAGATAAAAATTGCTACATATTGAAAAATAAACATATATAAAAAAGTAAATTGGAAAAAATATATCTAGCACTTTTTTCACTTTTTATTAGTTATAATAAGTTTTAGCTAATTTAGTTGTTCTTTTAAAGACACCTAATGAATCGATAACAAGAATATTAAATAAAGAGAAAAAAAAGCTTTATAAACACCTGCAGGTGATTTCAGAACTGAAATTTTTCGCTTGGTTTCATTTGGTAATGTGTTTCTAGCTGGAGCATTAGAACTTGCCTCTACAGAGGTTTTTCTAACAGGTTTAGACAGCAATGAATCTGATTTTTGATCTAGTGAGAAAAAAAATTAAATTTTCAAAAATTTATTTTATCACAAATAAATAAATCTTTTTTATTAGATATAAATATTGTTCATACTTTCCGAAAGATTAGAGGATGAAACTTCAACTGAAATTTTTCTTTCAGGTGCTATTGGTACAGCATTTGTTGATGATGAATCTAAAATAAAAAATATTCATATATATATAATTAGTGATTTTGGTAGATTATTTGTCTGAAGAAAATAACAACTATTTACATACAAGTAATAAATAAAAGGAAATAAAAGTTGTTACTTTTATTTTAGAATTGTTTATTAGACATTCTATAAAATTTGCTCTTTTCAACTAAACTTCCTCCAACAAACAATGAGGAAAACATTTAACATAAAAATTAGTAAAAATACATAGAAACACCATGGTTACTAAAAATAAAAAAAATTATACACCTTTTTTACATGTCCTTGGATTGAAAAGTGATGAAACATTTGAATTTTTTTTTTCAGGTAGAACTGGGGCATTTGATGGAGGTTCTAAAATTAATTTATATACAATGTGTGTATAAATAAATATTTATTTTATAATTCAGTTTTATGGATTTATAAAATAAATAAATATTTATTTTATAAATCCATAAAACTGAATAGCATTAAAAGTAATGAATTGTACAATTTTATCTGTTATTAAATCTTAAACAAAAGCTTGCTAAAAATGCAAGTAATGGAAGGTATCATTGAAAAGGCAATGGAGCTTCCAATATTTAGTGGCAGGTAGAGGTCACTTACATTAACACAAAAAATTCAGAGGTATTTTCGAATAAAAGATTGTTGATAGGTGGTGGTCTTTGCAGTGTTCAGACCAAATAGGAACCTGTTTGGGTTTCTGCTGTTGGTGTGAACTAACTTAGTGGTTATGGGATGGCATGAGTCAACAAAGATCTTATTAATACAGATTTTATCTAGTAATTTCTCAATGGGAAAACTAATATTTAAGTCGCTCAAATTGATTTCGTTAATTCCAATAATGTTTACGGCATTTTTTATAGAAACACAAACTTTATTGAAATCTCTTTTTTGCAGTAGGACTGCATGAAGTAAAAAAAAGAGAACTATATATCAGGTGGCTAATAGCATCTGTATATTGTAAATATAAAGATCTGCTGACTTGTAGAAGGTTAAGCTGAGTGTGTCTGATTTGCTTAAGGCGTTTGAGTAGATATAGTACTGATTTTATACTGTTGTGCACTTTTGTCCATTGTTCATCCTAATCAAGATTCTCATTGAGCATTATTGCTAGGTATTTTTGGCTGTTGATTATTGATAAGCTCAGATTAATACTTATGATACTTTTAGACCTATTAAGTTTTATTCCAATAACCACAAACTAGGGATTGGCAAAAATTGGAAAACTTCAAAGAGCAGGTTTTCCAGGTTTTTAAAAACCAGATAACTGGTTTTTAAATTTTAAAAAAAATTTTAAATTGTAAAACTAGTTTTTTTTTTCCTAAGCACTACAGATACAAAAATTAAATTTTGTCTCTATTCAACAATATCTTTTTTTATTTGTTATTAAAAATTATGCATGTGATTTGTTTACAAAAGTAAAAATACAATGTAAAAATATACAAAGATTTGTAAATTTGTAAAGATTTGTACCCCAAAAAATGCCCATGACATGATCGAACGCAATCATCGAGGAAAAGTTCACGAAAACAGCACCAAGTCAAGCCACATTTTTTTCAAATTTCATAAATGGGCTGATAGTGAACCCACAAAAAATATCTTTTTTAAGTCCAAAAAGAATATTTGGGTTGAACAAATGTATTTGCCATCGCTAACTCAACGTCGCAATGAGGCCATGAAAGAACGACGTCTCATAGAAAACAAGTCTATAGTAAGCGGGTACCTCGAATACCCAGCCTTACTTAAAGTTAAGGAGAAGAAAGAGGATTCCAGGTATGTTTTAATAAAATCTTTCTGAGTCGAAATAAATAGCTTATAGCTTTGTAGTTTGAGCAATGGTATCCTTAGATTTGCAGATGTTTTTTCTTGTTTTGTCTTATTTTGATTTGATTTTGCATTATGTTTGAATTTTATTCAAGCTTTATATATTTACAAAAACTTAGTTATATAATAACAATGCACTTTTTGTCATGTTTATTTTCTTTTTTATTTTTATTTGTTTTTGGTGTTTTTAAATTGAAAACGTTACAACGGATAAAAAGAATAAAGTTCTTTTGTTAGAAAACGTGCGCTTGGTTGATTTTATTGAATAGTTATAAGTCTTAATCTTTGAAATTTTTTTGTTTTCTTTTTTATTTGAAAAAAAAAAGAACAAAAAAGTTTGACCGTTTATAAATAGCTTGAAAACAGAAAGTTTTATAATATTTGTAATTTTTATTGTTTGTTTCTATTATTTTTGCATTTCTTGTATTGTTCAGTAATTTTTTTTTTTTTTTTTAATTTTATTTTTTATTCATTTTAATTCTTGATTTGTTTCGAATTTATAGCTACTAATATTGCAAATTAATTGTTTTACCTGACAGTTAATATTTATCACATTATTACATATATATTGTTTTTGTTTATTTTTTATTATTTTACTTTTTTGATTATTGTTTTTACTTTATTCTGTTTCTTGATTTTTAATAGGTTGCAGTTACTTACATTCATTAAGAATATTTATTCTTACTTATATATCTTATCGTCATATCAATTCACCGTAATGAAAACTACAAATAGCAAATGTGCTGTTTGCAAAATTAATGTCAATAGAAATCAGAAAACTATTTTTTGCGATAACTGCCTTAATTGGGTCCACCTAAAATGTAACAACCTAAATGATATTGACTACCAATTACTAAAAAACTCCTCAAAAAATTGTTCATGGTTTTGTATAAATTGCTTAGCTAGTATATTTCCCTTCAATAACGAAACTATAACTGACAATGAAAATCTTACTAATGTCGACACTAAAATTAATGAAACTTATCTAGTATCAGATTTTCCAATAGAGAGCCTCCACTCAATCATTAACACATTTAATACACCTATTGATAACAACAAAACTGAAAAAATCTCAATAAACAGTTTTTATACTAATGTTGATGATTTAAAATGTATAGCAGCTGACAAATCCTCAATATCTTTCACATCAATATCTCATCACTCTCAAAATATTTTGATGACCTTGAAAATCTACTCCAATCAACAAAACTTGAATTTGACATAATTGGTATATCGGAAACCAGATTGAATAAAAAATACTTACTAACTAGCAACTTAACACTTAATGGGTATCCTATGAACACACACCATCTGAATCACATGCAGGTGGTGTATTATTACATATTAATAACAGGCTCACCTATAAACCCAGAAACAATCTCCACATCTATAAACCTAAAGAATTAGAATCTATCTTCATTGAAATTATAAATCCCAAAAAATCAAATATTATCATTGGTTGTGTTTACCGGTATCTAAAAATGTCGTTAGACAACTTCATTTCCTTCTATTTTAATCCGTTACTCAAAAACCTAACAAAAGAAAATAAAACTGTATTTATTTTAGGGGATTTCAACATTGATTTGTTAAAGTGTGACATAGATTCATATGCTAAAGACTTTTTAGACTCACTCACCTCAAATTACTTTTTACCTCACATTGTCCACCCTACTCGCGTCTGTAAAACATCAAAAACATTAATTAATAACATCTTTTCAAATATTAAATCAAATAAATATAAAGCAGGGAATCTTACCACCACAATCTCAGATCATCTTCCCCAATTTCTGATAGCTTATAATATTTTTAAAACACCACCTAACAAAAAGCTCTTAATTCAGGAAAGAAACTGGAAAAAATTCAATGAAGTTGCATTTAGAAACAATTTTCACAAAATTAGTTCAGAGAGAGAACCAAAAAAATTCCCTGATAATTGTACTCAGTCTCTTGAGAATACTATTTCCTACATTTATCTACTGCTTGATATTCATGCACCTTTGAAAAAGCTTAGCAAACAAAACATTAAATTCAAGACTAAACCATGGATATCAGAAGAACTCAAACACTCTATTCAGCACAAAAATAATTTCTTTAAAAAATATATTAGGTCTAAAAATCAAACAAATAAAACCATATTTCATAATGAGTATAAAATATTTTGTAATAACCTTCAATCTAAACTCAATGAAAGCAAAAAAAATACTATGATAATTATTTTACTGAAAACATAAAAAATATAAAAGCAACCTGGAAAGGTATCAAAAACATTATTAATATTAAAAGTAACTCTCAAACAACTCCTAATGTAATCATACATAACAATAAAACAATAACAAACCCTTTTAATATTTGTAATGCTTTCAACAACTACTTTACTAACATTGGTAAGGATGTCCAGGCAACAATTCCTTCATCCATAAATCATTTCACATATTACTTATCAAATCCTTCTCAAAAATCTTTTTAAGAAGCAGCATAGTGTGGGGAGTTTCTTTTTATGTGTATAGGATGTACACTAATTTTTTGGCATTTCAGAGAAAAAGGGGGTACAAGCAAGTTTTATATATAATTATTTTATAATTGGTGTTAAATAAGGGATATAAGCTTTAAAATGTTTCTGTTCATATATTACCTTTTTTAAGCAAAGAAACAAAATTTTTAAAAATAAAAAAAAATTGAACGAATTGTTTTTATAGGCTATAAAAAAAATGCATATTTTTATAAATGTCTTATTTCCATTGCGCTTATAAATGTCTTATTTCCATTGCTATTTTTTCCCTGGAATCCAACAGATTTTTTACAAATTTGTGACATTTTTCATAGCTATATCTATTTTCTGATGCCTTTGTGACTACTACAACTAATATTTCCATTTTCTGACTATGACAAGGATACTTTAGGATACTTAATGGACTATCATTGGCGTTCATAATATCTTCGTTTGAATAAACATTCAGTAAAGGTGATGAATGAACTTCTTTGATGTCTTAATTTATTAATTTACAGTAATCTTTTGCTCCAAGATTTAATATTGTAGGAAGTTTAAAATGTCTATGGGATTTGCTAGATTTAAGTATCCTTTGAATGGCTGTAGTTCTAACTTGTTTTCTTTCATCACTTATCATTGCCAATAAAATATTCTCTGGGTTAAAAAAAAATACAAGTTTTGCTTCAAAACTTGCTCCATTACCTCCTTGTATTTTACATCAATAACTGCATTTTTAATTATTTGAGCAAGATACCAAAAATTTTGAGCGCCATTGATTGCCAAATAATTTGATTTGGAACCATCCTGGTGCATAGCATTGCATAATTATTGTAACCAAGTCAATAAGTTAGATACTGTAGAGACATTTTTGATCTGAACTTAGTTCACTAAAGATATTATCTGGAATTAAATGGAAAAAACGATTGATTTTTTTTTTAGGAACTACTGCTAAATTAGTTAAGTCCTGTTATTTTTTTACCAATTTCTCCTTTAAATGATCCAGGGTAAGAAGTTTTTCCATCAATAAACTCAAATATAT